ATGAAACGTGATGTAAGTAAGATAGGAGACAAGTGACAGGTGATAGATATAAAACACTTGATGGTGATGAAGCATCAAGTGATGGAATCAGTAGTATAGTACAGGGTCAATCGACGAATAGCTAGGAAAAGAAAAAAAATCCCCCTTCAAGCTGTAACACTAATGATGAACACATGAGCTGTTGCTGGCCCCTTTCTATATACTAGACAAACTGAGGTGGCCTTCATTTGAGCTCTCACCATGAACATGCCTGTGTGCTTTCACATGTCCATGATAAGCATCTAGACCTGCTACACTCAGATCAACCCAATTTTTGATTTTAAATTCCACACTCAAGCATGCAATTGGACCAACAGCTTTGCAAACTGCTACAATTTCTCCAGCTCAGTTTGGCTCTACAATGCATAACCACAGTATCTAATGGGTTACCAGTCCATGAGATTGGCTCATGATGCACAACTTATAATTAAGAAGATTTGTTATAGGCAATTGACCAATGATCTGCAATGCAGTATTAGGCAGTCTAGCCTCTAAGTTGTGTTGTACACTACTTTTATTGACATCTCTTGCACTTGCAACCACAGGATTGCATGGCCTCTAGCATTTTGGCCTTATAATTCTGGTGTGTTTTGGCTTACTATATGATGTGTTTTGACATTGGTCACATTACTGCACCAATAAGTTACATTTCTCCTGTATGTTTTGTTTTGGTTGAAATGTACATAGCCATTGGACTGCTTACTGTATACACAGACTCTGCTACTTGTGTTTTGTCTACGTTGCTTCTCTCTTGGAGTGCACATTTGTATTTAAGCTTTGCAATCTCTTTTCAAATGACAAGTTTTTACTCTCCCTCAGTTCAGAGCTAAAAGTAAGGCTTCATCTACTGCAATTTCAAATGTGTTTTACTATGTTCTACTACAACTTCAATCTACTGCATTTCACTGTATTTTACTGCAACTTCACTGCAACTGTTACAGCATGAGAGGGGGGGTTCTTTTCTTTTCCTAACTATTCGTTGTTGACCCTATAACTGTATGACTGATCCCATCTCTTGATGTGTGTCACCTACATCAGTGTTTCATATCTATCGCATTTCACCTATATCATGTCTTACTTACATCACATTTCATCTATATCATGTTTCGTCCTCATCACTGATACAACCCAGTGAAACCCGTCTCATGTACATCACTGATCCAACTCAGTGTTTCATACTTATTAAACTCATTCCTGTTTCTATTTAAGTAGCACTTCAAAAAATCCAGTAGAAGTGTAGTAGCTCCTACACCTTGCACATCGCCACTCCAACTAACCACCAAACCTTTGCAAAGTGAGTCAACAAACACCAGTCCTACAGTCAGGGCCAGTTTCTTCTCAGGAATCTTCAACTCACCTGAACCAGTCAATCCACCAGTCCCAGTAGAAGAACAACACCCAGTACCTACAGAACCTAAGCCAGAGCTGCCCAGATTACCAGTCAACCCTAATCCAGAAGAAGATCCTGCTAACAGACACCCAGACAACCCAGAAGATGGTTACCCAGAACCCATTCATCAAGAAGATGAAGGAGACATGTCCAACAACAACAGTGGAGCAGTAAACAAGCCTAAACAATTTGAAGGAGATAAAGGAAAGAGCAAGGAATTCCTGGATGAGTTATACCTGTACTTTGCGGGTAACCCCAACAAGATCCAGACTGATAAAGATAAGGTTCAATGCACCCTTTCATATATCAAGGGACCTGCCCAATTCTTTGTCCACACAATCATCACTGATGCCAAAGAACCCATATCTGATTCTGAAGATGCACCTCTCAAAGGATTACCCAGCTGGGCTAATTTCAGGAAGTCTTTTATTCAAACCTTTGGAGTCGAGGACAACACTCAGGCAGCACTAAACGAGATCAGCAAATGCACCTGGGTAAAATGTGGAGGAAATGGTCTTCGGTTTGTCACAACTCTTTGACCTCTCTTACAGGCCAGCGGATTAAACAAATTAGGGCAAATTCGAGAACTCCAGCACCTCATTCCCCCTGCTCTGTTAATCAAGATTGCTGCTTAACCACTGTTACCAGTCGCTGCAGTAGGATACCTCAACAGTGTTCAATCCATCTGTCAATCCATGATCGATATCTTCGGGGATAAACCTTTATTCATGCCATCTACCAACCACTCTTTTGGTCACAACAAATTTGTATATCACAATCGGGCAGTTGAGACCAGGGATAGAGCATCGAAGGAAGCATCATCTAACGATCAACAGATCAGATGTCTGTCAGACAGGGATCACAAGGAACACATAGATAAGAAGTTATGTTTCAGATGTCACAAACCCGGACATCAGAGTTGCAAATGCCCAAACAATCGCATCAGGGCAATTGAATCCCACAACACATTCACTCAGGAGAAGGATGAGACCATGGACTCTTCCGATGAGGAAGGGATAGCCGAAGAGCATATTCAGGCTATATCTTCTGAAAAGGATTTTTGAAGTCTTTGATCACTGTGACGTCAAATCGAAGTACTGGCACTAAGGATTATTTATATCAGGTGAGATTAGCTCATAAATCTATTTATTTGCCTTGCATATTATAAACCTATACCAAAACCGTCACCACTGAGGCATTGCTCAACACCGGAGCAATGGAGAATTACATTGACATCCAGTTCACTCGAGATCACAGCCTCTAGCACCAGAGTATTATACCCAGACCAGTGTTTAATGTTGATGGATCACCAAATAAAGCTGCAGCCATTAAACACAAAGTCTTCTTTACTATATCCTTATCAGGACAACCAATGAAGATAGAAGCCTATGCCACAGTCCTTGATAGGAATCCAATCATCCTAGGTCTCTCCTGGTTCAAATGTTTCAATCCAGTAATCGATTGGGTCACTGGAAAGATGCGCTTTTGCTGGGATCAACTTCTACGAGCAATCAAGACCCTTGCTAGCAACATCCCAGAGTACCTAAACACCTTCCTCTCTGTATTCAACAAAAGCACAGCAGAACAATTACCAGAATGGAAACCCTGGGACCATGCAATCGATTTGGAAGCCAACTTCAAACCTCAGCAAGGAAAGGTTTACCCGCTATCACCAGCAAAGCTCAAGGAGTTAGACACCTTTATTGAGGAAAACTTGCAGAAAGGATATATTTGTCCATCAAAGTCTCCTATGGCATCCCCATTCTTCTTTGTCAATAAGAAATCAGGAGATCTGCGACCATGTCAGGACTACAGAAAACGCAATGACGCCACCATCAAGAATGCCTATCCAATCCCAAGAGTAGAAGATCTATTGGATCGTGTTGCCTCTGCCAAGCCAACTATGTTTACCAAGCTTGATTTGTGCGCAGGATACAACAATGTACAGATCAAAGAAGGTGATGAATGGAAAGGAGCTTTTATTACTCCACAAGGGTTATTCAAGCCCACTGTCATGTTCTTTGGAATGATAAACTCTCCGACAACTTTCCAAGCTATGATGGATGGCATCTTTGTGGATCTGTTACTAGAAGGATGGCTAGTGATCTATATTGACGATATCCTCATCTATTCCACCAACCATGCAGAACATCAACAATGCACTCAACAGGTCCTCCAGCGTCTGAAAGAATCAGACCTGTTCCTCAAACCCAAGAAGTGCTTCTTTGACATATCAGAAGTCAAATTTCTAGGGTTTATTCCCTGACCAGGACAAATAGGGATGACAGAAGATAAGGTATCAGCAGTACTAAATTAGCCAAAGATTGACAGTGTCAAAGCACTGCAATGGTTCCTAGGGTTCGCCAACTTCTACCGCTGATTCATTCCAGGATATTCCAAAGTCGCACGACCTTTATTCAATCTATTGGTAAAAGGGATCAAGTGGAGTTGGACTAATAATCATGACAGCGCCATCAATCAACTCAAGGAATGTTTCAAGACTCAACCACTTTTGGTACA